TATACTTCTGTAATTTTTTTCTAAATAAGTTTTTTTTTGTTTTTGTTTACTTTTCTACAAAAAGATATTATCAGATTGAAAATATTCTATTGTTGAGTAGTGGTCTGATGCAGCTCTTGATATACTCTAATTTCTTTTAAGGTTAGACAGTTAGTATAGACAGATCATTTGTAAGGACTTATAAAAGCATCTGCATAATGTTGGATCAGAATTTATACAATAATTTGTATGTATATAAAGCAAAAATATATAATAAAAATAATCAGCAAGACTGCTTAAATAAAAAAATATATATATATATAATAACAAAAAAAATTTTTTTATAAAAATATATAAAAAGACAAATAGAACAAAATTATAAAATTTTTTAAATTTAATAAATTTTAATAATATTATTATTTGTTGAAATTATTAATAAAATAAAAATTTAGCTACATATATATAAAATGCATAATAAAATTTTAAAAATTTAATAAAATTTTTCAAATATAATAAATTTTATAATATCAGCTAATCAAAATTTAGCAATTAGTCTTAAATTTGACTACTTTTAAAAAAAGTAGTTGGTTTAAGGATTCCTGTACTATAGTACTTAAAAAAGACTTTTAGTAATCTTTTCTGCTTTCTTGAGATCTATGTTTTCTTTTTTATAAATGTTTATATATTGGTTTTTAATATATATAAGTGTATTTTTATTTTCTAAACTTGAAGTTTTAAGTCTTTCAATTCTAGACTGAGCATTTTGTAACTTTCTTGCTTTGTATTTTAAGAAGAAGTATTTTATTAACTTTTCTTTATTTTTAATTTATTGTATTTTTGACTAAATTAGTTATAACCTAGTTATTTGAATTAGTTTTTTTTGTATTTAAAGATTAAGTTTTTTTATAAGTTTATTAAGATGTTTTTTTGAAAAGTCTGCCTTAAGCTCCTTATATAACTTTGTATATTTTTGTTTATTTTTGCTATTTTGTTTTCAGAAGCTTTGGATTTTTGAAAGGCTCTAATAATTGATTGTATATAGATTTTATATAAATTCTAGTTTTTTACTGAGTCAGCATTCTGAATTTTCTTTAGAATCTCTTTTTTTAGTAATTCATTTTTAAAAGATTCTTTATTAAACCTTTAGGTTGGATGTGGCGACTTAGTGAAGTAGTTAAGTTGTCAATCTCTAAGTAGTAAATTGTAAGTTCAAAACCCACCAACAGCAAAAATTTGAATAATCATCTATGTAATATATAGATGATATTATGGTAACAGTATTCTGTTAATAAGTTGGGATAAGATGCCTGTAACTATAGTCACACTAGCATGACTGGCAGGTTATGGAGTATCTGTGTAACCTTGGTTACACAGAGAAATCCAAACCAGTACTGGGTGGTGCAAACCTAAAATAAGTCCTTGTGGCTGGATAAATTTGTAGAACTGGGAAACTGGAGCCTGCTTAGGAAGACTTAAGTAAAAAAGTAATACAGATCTTTGACAGTACTACTGTAAAGGCTAAACTAGGAAACAGATACCAATATGAAGAAGCTGAATAGACAAGAATCTCAAGTGAGGGGTACTACCAACCAGGCTACTAGAATCAAACCAGAGAAAAAAGATATCGGGCCAGCTCAATATATCAAGGGCAGGTTACAGTCCTCTTGGGCTATCTGGATTGGGAGTCTGGGGACAAAGCAGGGATATACTATAAGTACTAAGAATATGCTATAAAGTAAGTGCTAGGATCTGAGTGAATTTTACAAGGGCTAACTTTGTTAATATTCCGTAGAGTAGGTAGGTAGTTAACAAGATGGTATCCTGAAACCTTACAGTCAGGTGACATGCTCTGAAATGTGTAACAGCTTGACAGACATACAAAAAAGAAAGGCTAAATGTTGGGTTAAATGGCACTTAGATGTACAAGAACTAGGTGTTACTTGCCTAGATGCAGTATAAGGATCAGAGTGTTTAAATAGGTACCCTCCTAGTAGATTACAGGCATGATAGCTAGTGTAGAACCCTCAAGCGGACTACTTAAAATAGGTAACCAAAAGTTATATATGTGGCTAGTTGCATACTTACCTTGTACAAGTTCAATGTAATGCATTAACTAAAATATAATAAAGGTGGTAGCTACTGATAACATCAGCCTTAAACAACAAAAAAAAAAAAAAACCTCTAAGTTGAAGATTGTTTAAAATTTTGTTTAAACTTAACTATACATCTTACTAGAAGATGGTCTAAGTTGCTAAAGTGTATACTAACTTTTGATATAAGATGATTATGATTTTTATCTATAAAGATGTAGTCTAAACATATTATTATTGAATGCTTATTTTGTATTTTTTGAAAAAAAGTTAGAAAAAACTTGATGTTTAATATTTTTGCTATATTAATAAATTTTTTTGTTAAATTAGAAAGCTAGGTTTTAGTCAAGTTATATTGAATTGTTACTTAACTAATCCTGTTATCTTTAGGATTAAAATTAACATTAAAGTCTTCTGCTATAATATTTATATTATTTTTTTTGATGTGAGGTTTTTAATTATTAAAAAAGATTATTTTATTGCTAATATTTAATAGTAAATAGATATTAGTTATTTTAAAGAAATATCTTTTAAATACAAAGTCTGTTATTATTATTCTTTTTTCATGACTTATCTAAATGTTTTTGAATTCAATGTCTTTACTTTCTGTTAGAATTACTGTTTTTTTTATTTTAAATTAAATTATAGATCCATTATTGTTTAAGAAATTCTTATGTTTTTTTATTATTAAGATTAGTTTTTTGAAACATTATTATATCTAATTTGTATAATTTTAAAAGAGTTAATAAATTCTATTGTTTGTCTTTGTTGTTAAATCCTTTTACATTTAGTATTGCTATTTTTAATTTGGCTTTTTGAGACATAAATTATATAAGATTGTTAAATTCCTTAAATTTGAAATAATTTTTTTCTTTATAAGTTTTCTTATAAGAAGATAATCTTGTCTTATTCTTTTTAGATATTTTGTTTTTTTTATAATTTTCTTGTTAGTAACTGTAATAAAGCTATCTGTTTCTTTATATTTGTCAGAAAAAGAAGCTGTTTTAAAGATATAACTTGTAGATAGATATGATGTTTCATAGCTATAAATGACAAGTTCAACTTTTAGCAATATTTCTATATCTAATAAAAAATCTTCTTAAATTATTGTTTGATTTTATTTATCTGAGCTGTTATTAGTTATAGCTAGTTCTATTAGAACTAAAGGCTGAAGATTCTGTTAATAGTTAGAATCAATTTTTTTTAAAGCTATATATATATTATCTTTTGTATTATTTAGTTTTAGCTACTTAAGATTTTCTAGTAATAAGAATTTTTTATTACTTTATTTTATATTTTTTAGAATCTTGTTTAATTCTTAAAAGTTATTTAAGAATCTTCTATTGTATTTATTCTCTTTATATTTTTGGTAACTAATTTATAGATTTACTAAATTCTGAAATTATTAGTATTTTTTTTTAATATAACTTTCTTTTTTATAAAAATAACATATTTTAAATACTAATCTTCATTTTGTTATAACTTTATTATCTTACATATATGTGAAATGATGAATTTTGTTTTTTAAATTAAAATCATCTGAGTTTTCAAAGATTATAATTCATTAATCTATAAGGTATAGTATTTTTTTAATTAATAAAAATTTAATTGATGCAATTTTATTAACAAATTCAAAAACTACTTTTATAACATCTAATATTGTTTTTTTGTTTCCTAGTAGAACATTTCTAATCTTTACTAAAAGAAATAATTTTCTTGAATCTGTAAGAATAAAACCAAAATAGATTCTGTTAAAAATATTAATTTTTTTAAATACATAATATTTTAATTTATCTTTGTTTTCAAATACAATTTCTAAATATGTACATGTTTCTTTCATAAAGTATGTTTTGCTACTATGATATTCTTTTTGAAGTTCTTAAATAATAAGATTATAATTTCATTAAAGAAACTGTACATGTCTTGGATATTTATCATTAAAACATTTTTATTTTTTGAGTATAAAGAAGAAGTAGATGAACTGTTTTTTTTTTAGTTTTAGAAAAAAACTAAACTATTATTTAGTTAGTATCTCTTTTAAATCTTTTTGTTTGTTACTGTCTTCTTGTAAGTTATTATAAAAGTTAATTTTATGTACATTATTTAACAAACTATTGTTTTGTAAGTTTTCTATTACATCTTATTTCTGTTCTGTTGTATTTTCAATTTCCTCTATGTTGTCAAATACATATTACTTGTTCTTTAAACATATTGTTTGTTGTTATGTTCATAGTATCTTTAAATAGTTTTCATTTTCTCTATTTTCAGTTCTACTTGTTTGTCTCAGATTGTTTTTTTTTGTTTTTTTTTAAAATTTAAATATAAAAAAGAATTACCATTAAGTTTATATATAATTTTAAAATAATACACTCTACCCTTAAATTTTTCAACCGTTTTTTGTTTAATAAGTGTTACCCAGGTCATCCGTTTAATCAGGGTTACCCGGGTTATCCGTTTAATAAGAGTTACCCAAGTTATTTGTTTAATCAGGGTTACCCGAGTTATCGTTTAATAAGGGTTACCCGTTTACAATTTTAACCCGGTTTGTCAAAAGTATGGGTTGAGTAATCTGGTACACAGTTATTCAGGTTGTGTTTGGATCACTAGCAAAATATCACAGAAAAAACTTTACATAATGTATACTTATCCATGAAAATCCGAACAGGGGAGTGGTTTAAACCGCGAAATATGGTATCTTTATTATTAATAAAAAACATGTGTTATAGGATGAGACAAATCTAATTGTAACGACGTTACGCACTTATTCGTAACAACTCAATTAGTGCAACCAATAAAAATAAACATAAATTTCGATTTATTGGTTATTAGTTTGGCTTTGATAATCAAAATAACACGTGTCATAGAATCGATTCACAGGTTTTCACTGTTTACGCGAGCTCTGCTGTGTCGCACGATTATTTCCAGAACGTCATGGACTTATCGAGTAAATATCAATGGGAAGAAAAAGGAACGCTTTCCGATCAACATAACCTTGTTGTTACTCTTTTACAACGTAAAAAAAGCCAACCACACGTCAGGCCATATACTACACAGTTCCTCGAAGAGGC